ATGCGAAAGGACGACTTAATTAAAATCCGCTGCACACACACAGCAGAGAACCTCCAGCGCGCGAGTGTATTAAGGAGTAAGAGCAGCAGCATTATTATTTGCAGAGACGCCGGAGCGAATGCACGGCTTTCAACCGGCAAAGTGCACATTATAGATGTGTTCGTGTTTTTTGATGTCTCAATCGCAGCAACGCCTTTTTCACATGGACCTGCTTTTTTGCATTTTTGCTGTGAGGGAGAGCGAGCGAGGATTAATTTATCGATTCAATTTCCGACCGAAGTCTTGCCGATCTTGTCTGCTGAATTTTATTGCATGCAGATTTAATTAGTGCAATTAATTGTGTCGCTCTTGCCAAACCCACACAAAACAGCGTGAGAAAAAACGAAAATTTCAAATCAAAAAATCTTGATCTCGTTCTGCAGATGGAAAATTAAAATAATTTTATTTATATTAATTTACATTAATTGCCTAAAAATATAATTCACCTGTGAATTAGAGCAAAGAATTTGCTTTATTAGTTCATAAATACATATTTTTCCGCTTGTCTTCCATTTAAATATTTAATATTAATTCATCCAATAGAAATTAGATTTTTTTTCAGCGTAGTAAGTTTTCAAGGAGCTTGCAGTATTTTCAAATATTTACTTCAAACTTTTAAATTTTTTGGATCAAAATACTTATTATATTTTGGCCAGCTTTCTGACATTAAATTTGTGTATTGAAATTTTATCCATTTTAAACTGAAAAATTTAGAGTAATAAATTAGTATTTTTTATTCAAACTTCCAGAGAGGTTTATTTAAAAAAAATTGGCTCCAACTCATTAATTTTTCCTCTAATATCGCTTTGAAATGGATATGTAAACCATTGCTTAGTCATAAAAAAATTATTATCAAATTCAATTATACTGTATTTTTTTCTAGAAGTTTGTATTTAATTCATTTTTGATTTTATTTATGACATTTGTAATTTTCATTTGTAATTATATTTATTTTTACAAATTTAACTTTAGTAACAAACTAATTCTCCACAATGAAAGGAAACTTGAATCCATTTTCATGTCCATCACACTTAAATGAAATCTGTGACCCTTTGCAGCTCCTCCCCGGCTAATCTTCGACCCCTTATTGTTTATTGTGGATAGACGGACGCGCACTCTGGACCCGCTCTCAGCATCTCGAGCTGCCCCGACCTTGTTTGTTTCTCTTTTGACTGCTGACCTGGCATCTCTTGCTCTCCTCACGCAGATACGGGAAAGGAATAAACACTTTCTTTCTTTCTTTCTTTCTTTGCGTCCGCCCCGTGTGTTTACCAAAAAGCAATTTGCTGGAAGCAATAAATTTTATATATTGGAATTGTTTTCGCCATAATGCCGCCCGCGTCCTTTACGGAAAAATAAATGTTGCTTCGTCCACCACAATAAAACATCCCCTGCGCCCCCTGAAAGAGAGAAAGTGAGCAACTCACACACACATAGACTGATCGGGTGAGTTATCTCGGCCAAACTTGCCCAATAAATAATACAATATACACACAAGCACTTTTGGAAAAGCGCAATTCTGCAACTCTAGACAACAATACTCACAATCGGTGCAATAAACATAATTCTAATAAATTAGACTAAATTTAAAGTAAATTGTTAACTCAAAAATAAAATAATTTTTAAAAAATTTAATCAATTTATCGTTGCATCATTAAATTTATTAAAATAGTTAAACACTTATTTTTATATTTAAAAGTATTTAATTTCACAATTATTTGGGAAGAAGTTTAAAATATATTAGGAACAAAGAAAATCAATCAGAAATTTTAAATTTATTAATAAGTTACACCAAATCCCGAAAATTTTGCTCTCAATTGTTAAAACAGAATAAAGAAGGGTCTTTTGTAAGAAATATATTTGTTGGTTCAAAATTTAAAAGAAAATAATTACCTTTCATCAGATTAAATTGCATGTTATATACAATGGAAATGTTATTGCACTAATTGACACAATCCACCGGGCGAGCCTCTGCTTTTATTCATGCCAATTATATGCACGGTGTTTTATCAGCTTTTAAAATTCCCATCCTTTAGCAATAATAATTACCGCACACGGCGTGACAAACAAAAGCGAAACCGATTCCGACTCCATTAGTCGGCGGTGGCGTTGATAAGACGGGGAAAAATTCTTCGCCTTGACCCTTTTTATATACGTAGCCCCTCTCAATGAATTATTTCTCGGTGGCAGGCCGGAGATAGCGGTGGCAGGAAAAGAAATAATAAAAATAATAACACATTCCAAACTTTTATTTATAAAGGAAAATAATACGTATTGCATAAAGTGTGAGAGAGCGAGCGAGGGGCCCACACAAAGAGAGCCGAGAAGCCCTAGTTTTTATTTAGCTGTGGCGCTAAAGTGAGGCGAAACACGCATTCGTTTTCGGTTAGGTTTGGGGTGGTAGATTTGAAGGCGCATAAGGGTTTAATTTTTTATATTAATTCTCATTATTCGGGAGTTTATGAGGCGAAGCTGCCATTAATTGAACCAAATTTAATAAAAAAAAAATCAAAGCATGCAACTAAAATAAACTAAATCATTTTGTGACTTAGTCTAAAGGAAATTTTAATATTTCTTGAAGAAAATAAAGATAATTTTTTAAATTTTTTGAATTAGTCTCAATAAATGTCCCCTTATACTTTCATTGAATTTTTAATAAATAATTTTAGTTGGTATTTAGCAATGGTATTTATTTCCCACTCATTTTAATTAACAAAACGCAAAATTATATTGTCAGTTTTGGAGCTTTCGGAATTTTTTTACGAAACATTCTCAAATCCACCACCCCCGTATCCAACTGTGGCGGTGGCTTTTCTTGGAGCGACGACCCGGCCGGTGATATATTCTTTATAAACGCTCCACCTTTGTTTGCGTGCTATCCGCCCATACAAATAAAATAATTTTAAGAACCACACACAAAGCTAATTTCTAACACCACAAGCTGCAGCGACAAATCGCTCCGTTTTCCCTGCCTCTCTCGCTTTTTGTTATATTTATTGCTTCTGATATCGCCTCGAACGCAAACAGCACCGCCGCACGTTTATGTAATTTTCCGGTGCCGCCTGCAAATGGGAAAACTTTCAAAGACTTCTGTTTCTCATTGCTGCATATCGTCATTATAGAATTCCTGGATATAATGGACTTTGGTTTTATACAGAACTTGATTTGTTGAAGTCGTTCTAATTTAAAAATATTAAATTGAAAGTTAAATAAATTATTTTTTAACAGAAACACATCAAAGACATCAACTCAATCACGAAAGTAATGTTTTAAAATCTAAAATAGACAAATTATTATTGAAATGGTTGATGTCTTCAAAAACTTTTGCCAATTCATTTCAATAATTTTTATTTTATCAGCAAATATTTTGAAAATAATTCATAAAATTAGGTATGATAGTTACATAAGAAATATAAATAGTTTTTTGTTCCTGAAATATGAGTGAAATTATTTTTCACTAATCCAATCATGTGTCTGTTTGCTCTGTCAGCACTTTTTCGACTCGGGCCTGTTATCAAAACAATTAAAAAGCCGGGCGCGTCTATATATCGAACAAACAAAGCGCTTTTCGGCCTGCTGTGTTCAAACGAACTTAATCTTAAATACTGCGCCCGAGCTCTTTCTGTCTGTTTATGAGAGTTGGAAAAAGTTTGTTTTATCGATCAAGCCGCCGCGCCAACCACGCTTCTTTTTGGCTACATTTGCAGCTTTCACGCGCGCTTTTATTTTCTTCCTCCGATACGCATTTGATCTCATTTCAACACACAGCGCGCGGCCCCTCGAAACAGCAAACTCATTCCAATACTGATTAAAACTTGCCCAAGAAAAACAAACACCAGGAATTAAAGGCTTATTATAAAAAGCACAAGCCGTGTTCGAAGGGGGACCCGCCGCTTGCTTTTTGATTTTGTATCAGCTGGCTTTTTTCCGGCCAGATGCTGTGTATTTTGGGTATGCGTACAAACAATTTCCTCAGATAAAGAGAAGCTAAACGAAAAAGAGGATAAAAGTTCTCTCAGGCGGAAAAAGAATTACCGCGAATTACCACAAAATGTGTTTACGCTAAAGCTTTTCAATAAAATTGAGATTTATGATAAATTATGGTTGTTCAAACTTCTGCACCCAGAAGTTTTGTCAAATCACAAATCACAAATAATATCTATATTTATTTGATTTAATAAAATTGTTACATTTAAAAAAATTCAGAGTTATGACCTAGCGAATTTAATACTTTAAAAAAAAAAAAATAAAATTCAAGCTTCCTTCATTGCTCTGCCTGATTTTCCGCCGAAGAAAATGCTCCAGCGAGCGAATTAATTATTGACAGATCTCAACTGATGAATTATAAGAAGCTTGCAGAGGTGAATTTTCTCATCTCTCGTCTGCCTTCTGCTGAAATTCACACACGTGCGCGAGAGTTGTCACGCAGCCGAGAGTTACAAGCCCCAGTAGGAAAGAAGATCTCTCTTGCTCTTTCCTCCGACTTTTCCTTAATTTACTAAACACGTACGTCACTTGAATAATACAAAAGGCGCTTCTCTTCTAATTTCCGAAAACATTAGAGGTGAAAATGTCACAGAGGTGAGAGGAGAAACACACGCGGCTTGTTTGACATCTTATTACGCGCACATATTAATATGCAACTATACCGTATATTTAAGCTCTTCTCGACTGAGTAATCTTCTTAAGTCAATCAAGCCACTGCATACGCTCTGCGTGAATTAATCATCCGACATGCGCCGAACGGCGTTAATAACAAAGTTTCCAACTAACGAATCCAAAATAGGGGATTGTACTAATTTTAATTTTGCCCCCAAGTCGCAACTGCTGCCAAAGGGAACGGAAACCTTATGATATTATTTTATTGCAATTCGAGTTATTTGAAAACTTTTCAATTGAGAATAAATTATTGCATAATTAAAAAAGTTTCCCAGTTAATTAATAAATCTCTCAACTTTTCATAAAGGGAATAAAATATCACACTTTATTTGTTAAATAGAGAATTATTCCAATCATAACAGTGTTAGTGAGTTAATAATCGACATCAAAATTAACACCAAAGACGCGGAGTAGCTTTTGAAGCAGCCATTCTTGGCCGTGTAATCAGTTGAGGAAAGAGCGAATGTCTTAATCTTTGGGAATCCAGCTCCGTCAAATAATGTATAACTGACGTCAAATCTAATAGAAAGAATAAGTATTTAACTTTTATTTTTCACTTCTCCATACCTATTGCCATTTGGAGTTGCAGAGTAATCGAGGTATTGAAGGGGATAATACCAAATGTCGGCAGAAAGCGTAATTGGTATAACTTTGTCTGAAGAAAAACTGCCAACGAGTGAGATTTGGGTAAATGAGATGTAATTAGCAGCGCTCATTGGAGCTCCGCAGGTCATTTTGTCCTCCCCAGAACAGGCGACCAAGCCACAGGTCTGTTCAGGAAATAGTGCTGTTCCGTCCAAGGCAGTCCGATTTCCCTCAAATGCAAGGAGCTACATAAAGAAAAAAAAATGCAAACCAAACCATTTATTATTTACATAAAATTTGTAACATTTGACTAATCGCCCTTTACGTGGAATTACGTTCCGAGACGCGAGATACTGAGACACAAAATCAGCGTAAAAAAGTTAGAACATTCCTGTTGTGATAGTTAAAATTATTAATTGAGGGCTGGAATTTACCAAAATGGTTTAAAATAATGTTAATCTTGGGAAATTTTCGCCCTCAATTAATATTTTTTACTATCACAACAGGAATTTTCTAACTATTTTTACACTGGGTTTGTCTCAGTATCTCGCGCATCGGAACTTAATTCCATTTAAAAGGCAATTTGTCAAAAGTTACTAATTTAATTAATTTCCCGCTTTAAGTGGATTCTCTATGAGTTTTAAATTCTCAAAATATTATTTAATAGTTTCTTTTAATTTGTGAGGAAATTTGAGTTTTTAGGAGTTTTTAAATTTCTAATCACACCTGATAATGCGTTTCATCAGCACTTTGAATTGTCTTGTAAGTCAACGAGCAGCAAAATTCTACTCCGTGGCACACCCTGACCTCATTGCTAACAAGGCTGCTGGCAGGAATCGGCACTGACGAGTATTTACTGAATTCAATTCCTTCAGTGATGATTTCTCGAGATGCTTTATCCATCGAAAATTGTTCTTTCGCTTCAAGTAAGGTTTCATCCACACTATAGTAAGCAATGGAAAATGCAGTTGGGCCATCGTCGACTATTATTGAGGTGGATCCTGAAGGAAAATAAGCACCATTTCCTGTATAACCCAGTTCAGGCCTGACGTAGGCAGAAACCGCAAGAAAATCATCATTGTCATTGTGCCAACCGTGTTGTACGGAAGTTGCTTTGCATTAAATTAAATTGAACTATTATTCCTCTTAGAATATAGAAAAAACTTACAAAAGCCAAACGGAAGTTTGTTTTTCCACGCGCCCACATGCATGAAGTGTTTTATTCCCCTAGCCTTGTAACTTGTTGTTGGCTCAGAAAAAAGCAAATCGTGTCCCATGAACAAACCAACCGTGATATTGCTGCCTGTGGTGAACGTGGCAGCTTCTTGATTAGGTGGTTTGTCGAAGGCAGGCTCGTCAATCAGGTGGAACTTTCGGTACCTGCATATTTTTAATTTAAAATATCAAAATTTAAATATTTTTACCCTTCACTTTTCAACTATAAATCCGGTTTTATCAAAGACGATTGCGGTGCTGTAGATTTTGAATCCGTCTTCCCGGCACTCCTCACCCTCTTGGCACGCAACTTTTTCCAATAGATTAGCCACTATAAAAACGTATTTATCCCTGGCCATGCAGGAGAGTCTCAAAACCATCTGTATTTTTATTTATTTGTGTGCTTTTAAAATTGATTAATTGAAATTAATTGTAAATACCAAGTCATCGGGATCTTCACTTGCAACCACACACGGGACTACTTCCGAACTTACGCCAGGCACCTTCTGAGAAAGCAGGAGTGCCAGGGTCCTATTGTCGATCACTTTTGATGTAGTGAAGGAAAATTCAGGTAGGAGATAAATGGTGTCCTTGCTCTATTGATCAGTGAGCCAAATTTAATTATAAAAATCATATATCAACTTACTGATGAGTTGTACGCGCCTGGAACTGCTTCAATTCTATTAAAATTCGCCTCCAAGATTGACGCGTCAATGTCAGTGTAATTCCACCCAAGTGGTGTGTAATTAAAGACTAATACTTCAAAACCTTTCTAAAAATTAATTTACTCTCGAATTATTAAAATTTAAGGCTAGTAATGAGAACAAACCAGTTCCAATGGATTTAAGGATGGTTTGGCACGGACAAGCACGACCAATGCTGCAATTATGTAGAAAAGAGTTGCTATGGTGTTCATTTTTGCCTCACTTTGTTAACTAAAGTGATGAATTGGTTACATTCTGCACTCTTATAGATAATTCGATCGATTTTTTACTATCTCGGTTTCCATCACACATATTTCGGCGTTGATTGTGCTGATATGATAACGTAAATTGACTCATTTATGATAAGCTACGCATGTTTGTGTGTTATTTGACAGTGACGTTCAGTTAGGTTTTTGCTTTTGTCATAGATAAATAAAATAAACGTCAAAAGTATTTATCAACGTGATAATAATAATTATTTATTCTGGAAGCTACAAATTAAACAAATTTGAATTCTGAATTTTAGGTATTCATAAAATTTATATTTTTTTCAAATGAAATTGACATAATGTTGCTTTACCGTTTTAATTTTTTAGGCGATAATTTAAAAATACAGTAATAACGATTGAAAACACGAAAACAACCATAGAAGGTATATTCCTGAAAGTCCCATTCTTGACAATTTTATAATCGGTTGAGGAGAGTGCCAAAAATTTCACTTGTTGAGTGCTAACTCCATCATGTTCATATTTGAACTGAAACCTTTTTTAAATTTAAATTAATTCAACCATCCGTTCCAATATATTTAACCACGAATTTCTTACCGGTTTCCAATTTGACTGCTAGTTAGAATCATGTGACTGGTGATTGGAAAGTAAAATTCGTCTCCGCTCATTGCTAGCGGCACAACCTTTCTTGAAGAAAAGCTGCCAGTTAAGGACAGAACGTCAAATCTGGTCGAGTACGTGTAATCAGTTTCCTCCTTGGACGCATTGCACGACATTTTGTCTGCGGTGGAACAAGCGACCAAACCGCAAATTTGCTCTGGGAAAAGCACCGTTCCGTCTGAAGCTGTGCGGTTTCCTTCGTAGGCTACCAACTTACAGATTGTTTGACGTTGAAAATATTTAGAGATCTGGAAAAAAATGATGTACCTTATATGCGAGAAAATTGTTGAAAGGAATTTCGATAATTCTGTACGTCAGAGTGCAACAGAAATCGGCGCCGTGGCAGACTTGGACAGAATTGTTATTGCGAAAGTCAGTGGGAACTGGTACAGCTGTAAAGCGGCTGAAGTCCATGCCTTCCATTTGAATGCTTCGATTTTCTTTTTCTTGGACTATATTTATTATTTTGCTCTCTTCGTCGACTACCAATTCAAAAGAGGAAAAACTTCCAGACTCAAAACTGTAAGCGAAAGAACTCTTTCCTGAAGGTAAACAGAATCCCTGGCCAGTGTAGCCTAGCTCAGGCCGTTGATAATTTGCGGTCGCCAAAAATATTCCCACATTTGCCACGGAAAATCCTTTCCAAACAGAGAGTCCTGAAATTAAAAAAAAAAAATATTTCGTCTGGACTGTAAATCATTTTAATCAAAATAAAAGCTGAAAATTTTTTACAAATAAAATTTGCATCAGACCGTGATTATCTTGAGATTTTGGTAATTTATTGTTATTACCATAATCAAAAGGCATCACGCTTTTCCAAGCTCCCATACTGAGATAGTGGATGACACCATTCTTTTTGAATGTGTCGGTTGGTTCAGCAAACAGAAGATCATAGCCTGTGACGAGGCCAAAGGTGACGCCACTATCGGTTTTAAACGTGGTCGGCTCTAGTTCAGGAGCTTTGTCGAGGGCAGGCTCATCAATTAAATGGAATTTTCGGTATCTGAAATAAGAGTCACGTTCTTCACTGATATCGTGATTGCAATTAAATTAATTTTGACAAACTTTGCGATGAGATAACCATTCTTATCAAAGACGACCGTTGTGCTATAAATCTTCAGTCCATCATCCTCACACTCCTCACTCGCTTGGCACAAAACTTTTTCTAGAACTCCAACCACGAAATAATTAAAACGTTCCCTCGCCAGGCAGGACAATCTTTGGACAACCTAAAGTTTTGATTAAATTTTTTTACAGGATATTTTTTTTCAACAAACCAAATCGTCCGGATCTTGGCTGCCAACTGTGCATGGAACAAATCCGTCACCAACACTAGGCACTCTTTGCGACAAAATCGAGGCCAACGTTCGATTTTTTGTCACCCTTTCCGTCGTGAACGTAAATTCGGGGAATAGCATTATGTGATCCTTGGCCTTTTATAAATTTAGTTGGACTCTTTGGGTAAAAATAATTTTTTAAATTCACAGACAGAGGAATTTGAAGGGCTGCGCGTCCCTTCGAGTTGCAAAAGATTATCTTCCAAAATTGACGCATCAATCACTTCATTGTCCCAGCCGACCGCCGTGTAAAGAAAACACGTGATTGAAAATCCACTCTGAAAATTAAAATTATTGTATGAGAACGGAAATTAAATTCACAAGAAATAAAAAACAAACCAGCTCTCTATGTTCTTTGAAGTTTTTTTCAAGAAAAGCTGCTGGAAAAAGAAGGAGGAAACTGCAGAAAAAGTAGCTCCAATGTAAAAGCTTCATTGTGAATGTGGAATTAAAAAGCTGCAAATGTGATTTGAAAAATATGTGTCCTTATCGTCTCTACTTTTTATCACCTTATGGATTAAATTCTGGTAGGAGTTTTTTAATTATATGGTCAAGTCAGTGAAACAATCAGTTAGTGAGCTTATCAAAATATTAATAATTTATTTCTTTATCCCTTTTCAAATTATGAAACAATAATTTTTATTAAATAGAATCAAACTTTTATTTGGTGCTTGTTAATATTTTTTTTCTAATTGTAAGGGAAATTTTATAAAATCAGCCTCTCGGAATTTAATTCCGTCACCCCCTGATAGGTCTCTGGCCGCGAATCGAAAATCGGAGGCCGTTTGTCAGCGTCGCATTCTCTACCCGCGTTTTTTTTTCGATTTCGAAGCAGTCTCGCAGGTGTCATCGGTGCTTTCATTAAATACCCGAGCGACGCAGCCAGTTATTTGGGGGAGAAATTATTTTTCACCAATGGAACGAACACTCTGCCGACTTTCAATCAGTACAGCGGGCAATTTGTCACTTATTATACAGCCGCCGCCAGAGCAGGCAGGGTCGGGCGAGAGTGGAAAAGGGTGAAAATCCTTATTTCACGCGGTGGGCGGACGCACAGCTATTTAAATTCAATAAGCCAGCGCGAAAAATAGCTGTGGCGCGCGTTTTATTAGGGCGCATTCCAAAGATTATCGGGCCGACGACGTATGCGCGAGAAAATTATTTCACTCTTCAAGCCCCTCATCAGTTCAAGCAGAAAACAAATATTTTGAGTGCTGTTGATCAAAATTATTGGAAGAATTTAAATTTTTCTTTTATAAAGAGTATTTGACGTTAATTATAAAGAAAGGAATTATAATTTCAGTAAATTTTCCGTAAACTTTTTAAAACTCATTTCAGAAACTTAGCTTGTGTGTTTAAGTTGATAAATTCTAATAATCTATATTGTATTTTACATTGATTTCAATTAAACTTGTAAAAATATTGCAAAATTAATTTTTTTAATCGTTTTTTTTTTTAAGAATCAAAAGGTCATTGATCGTATTTGCTTCCAGAGACTCACTCAATAATTCTATATCTAGTCTGCTTTAATTCTAAAGCTTTATCAGCTCGCCAACGATTTAAGGGGGATTTCCGCATTATCTAAATTTAGTGTGTAATAAATAAATTTTGTATCAAACAAGTCAACAAAACCCATAATAAACAACCAGTAGGCACTCCAATAATTATCTAAAACAAATACAAATAAATGGAAGTGTTTGCAATACAAATGGCACTTAAAAAATAATCAATAAATCACAAAATAAAATTTTGTTTCTTTTCCACTAACAGTGGCACTTTTCTAATGTGGGAAATTAGGGGAAAGTACTGGATGTGCAAAAGAAAATATTAATTTCCAGTGGCGCAGAGACGAATTAATTAAATTAGATGTTGGTCGGGCCGAAAAAACACACTCGGCTGGGCGGAGCGAGCGCGGGCAGGAGAAAAACTCATTTTTTTTTTGCGTTGAACGCCGCTTGATATATGTTTATGCACACGCGCTTTATCCTTTTTCCTTTCGGCGCGCGCCAACTCTCTGGGTATCTTTTCCGCTGGCTGCTTTTTCGGCCTCGGATGTTATCTTCTCATCAGATTGCGTAATATTTATTATTCCGCTGCCTCCGCCTCTGCTGCTGCTGCTGACCGTTTTAAAAAGCATTTTAGAAAAGAAGGGTTATCTTGTTGAAACACATGACAAAATAATTTATCCCGCTCGGCATTGTCCGCTGCGAAAACGGAGCGCAGAAGAATGGCGAGTGAGACGATTCTGAAAAGATGTAAACCCTTTTCAAAACTGTCATGTACACATTGACCGGAATGTCAACAAGAGAAAAACTCTGACCGTCCCTCTCTCTCGCAAAGAATTAAAGGCGGAGGGCTGAGAGAGATTCGTCTCTTTGAATTGCTCGGAAACTTTTTGTTTATTAAAAGGCTGACAGAGGGGCTGAAATTTTAAATTCAATTGGAATGGATGCTAACTTTTTATCTTAAAATGATTCTGATTAGCTTACATTAAAGAGTACAAAACTTATTATATGTTAGTTTTAAAATATCACTATAATTTCTAGAATTTAATTAATTAAATTGAAAAATAATGTTTATATTGTTGCAAAATTTAAATAATATTTGCATTTTCAATAAAAATTTCCTTTTTTATTTAAAATAAAAATTAATTGAAATATTTTTTGAATTAAGCAGTTAATTTTTACCGTATCTTTCAGCCAATATTTACAACCAGCACTTGCAACAAATATGCTGTGAGCTGCATCCTCATCCTACTCAGCCATGCAAATTCGCGCCCACTTGACTGACTTACCCACATCTTTTTCTCTCTGTGTATCTCTCGACGGCCGCCGGAAAAATAATGTATCATCATTTCGCCGAGCAACGCTGACGTGGACGTTAATTTCAAGCGTCTCTCTTTCGCCAATGTATGTGTACACCAATTTTTTTGCGCGTCGGCGCTCTCCACTGTGCATGCTTTGTGCTGTCTGGCACATTTTTTGTTTTAATGAGCCGACTTGAATGTGCGTGTATTCAATATTTCACGCTCGGACTCACACACCATCAGCACAATCCGGCCGTGTGCTAATTAATACCGAAAAATGCTGGGTTTCGAATTACCTGAAAATTTTGAGTTTTACGCAAACATTGTGAAGGAATGAAAAACTCTGTGCTATAGAGTTTCAAAATCATATTTCATGTGTAGGTTTAGAAATACAAAAGTATGAAAGAAAAATATTAGAATGTTTTTTAAAAATTATATAACTGAGATCCAAAAATTCACCTTAATCCGTTATTGTGATTTTAATACAGATATTAAAATTTTAGTTCATCTCCGGTTTAAATATAATTATTAAGCGCATTAAATAAATATTATTATGTCATTGGGGACTTTAACTTAAACAAAAATTGTATGAATCCCACGGAATCCCATATCAAAATATTTAGATATAAATAAATTATAAAAAGTATTTAAAATTAGAAAATCCGTAATATTTAAAACTGATCTTTTTTATCTTTTTAATTATTTAAAAGTTTAAATGTAAATAATATTTAATGTTCAAATTATATATATCCAATTAGCAATAGACTCATTGATTGTGATTTCAATTTCAGATTTAATCAGAATACTTCCTTTCGTTTACACATTATTTTATTTATTCCGTTTGTAATTTTCTCTTAATTTTACGATACAACTTTAAATATCGATCTACTTTATTTTAATATATTTTACAAAATGTGCAGAAGTTGATCCACCCCCCGCAGCCCCGATTGTCGTCAACAATCGACCGGGCGGCGGAGCACGTCGGAGGTGGGTATGCAACCCGGTAGGCACGCGCGCTCAACAAATTGCCTAGCGCGCGCCTTTTTATTAGCGACCTCGCACCACCGCTGCCGCACAGAGTCGTCGTCGTGTTTGAGAATTTTATTTCATTATCGCGCCTCCGCCGCCGCCGCCTTTGGCATGATTAGCGCGAGGGGCTAATCACCCTTTGCCACCCCTCGCCACCCCCGCGTTTTACACACGTGTGAAATTGAAACCGCCGGAGCGTTTTCCGTCGTGTGTTGTCGTCCCGTGCGTCGGAGGCAGGCAGACGTCCTGCCATTTATCTTGGCGGTACACAGCGGAGGAAACGACATATCATAAATTAAGGCGCGCGTATCAAGCCTTAATAGAATCGCGTTACCCCTCCAGTCGAGCATATACCCTAATTTTCGGCCGAAAGACGAGATTTCTGAATAATTCGAGGTTTGTTTTGGAAAAAAGGCAGGTGTTTCGCATTCCCTGCTCCTTTCCGAGTGGAATAAGGGTGGTTTTTACATGTGTACACTCGGAGAGGGAAAAAGATAATCTACGTGCTGCTTTTTTATATTTTAGAGCGCGTGTGTAGCTCAACTTTTTAACCTGGAAAAATTCATCTCTTTCTTTCTTTTGTTGAGTGCCGCGCGGGAAGCGCATAAAGAAAGGGAAAGTAACTTTTTACGCGCGTAAATATTTTTATAAAAGGAAGTTTTTGTTGGAGAGCGGCCTGGGTTTTATCTTGTGAGAAAAAAGCGCCAAAGTTGGAATGCGCGCTGCCTGCTCTCTGCACCCATGCGTGCATAACATTTGCACCCCCCAAAATAACATCATAATCAGCCCCTCAGGAAATGTACTACATATTTCTCGAATGAATTTGGTGAAATTCCCGAGTGCAGCACTTTTGTGAGCAAAACTCTTGACTTCCTGCTCAACACTCAAAACGAATGAACATTGCATAGGATATTGTTCTTCGGCAAGAAATCGTTTTTAACATATTATTAATCTAAATTAAAAGCCCAATGATCAATTCTATAGTCTCAAAAAACCAAAGCCAACACCTTAATAAATTTTGTTTCACAAACATCAGTATTTAGAGCAATAATGCCACAAATATATTTATTTCATGTAGCAAATTATTATTTAATTCTGGTTAAATATAATGATGTAAATAAATCGTCCTTATTGCAAATTAAAAAGTTAAATAAATAGATAAATGTAATTTAAAATATAATTATTTAAATAAATTTTTTATTTTATGTACTAAATTTAAAATTATAATCGTTGTTTATTTTTACTAAATTTAATTATGTTTAAAGTAAAAACTATAAAAGTGCATTAATAATTTTGAACAAATTTTCATATTTCCACGTAATATTTGCCTAGTTTATTCCACAAAGTTTCATTTAGAATGCACTGCTTTTGTTTATAATTCTGAAATTTTTATTATTCAGTAGAAACAATTGCATTTTATTCATTTTAAAACACCAATCTTAATTTTAAATTATTCTGAGACTTTTAATTTTTATCTTCAAATAATGTATTCAGAGTTCGTATACATTTAATATAAATTCACTATTTTCTCCAAAAGACACTCTAAATTTATTTCCATTTAATAATATATCATTCAATTTATACATTGCC